GACTGTGTCCGACCTGTTAGATTGCATAGTTGAATGTTTAAAAAATGCTTTGTGCCTTTCAATAAACATGACGGCCTTCAAAGGAGCAGAGGGGAAGCTTTGGTGTGAATTGCTATCTTCTGATAAGTACAGAGACATTAAGAACTACAAAGAAAACATGAGTTCGCATCATTTCTCTCTTTTGGTAATAATTTTTTAATTGTTAAAATTTGAACGTTAACAGATAGAGCTCATTTTTGATTAAGTGTCGTTCTTTGTAGTGCTGTTCGGCTTCGTTTATCAAAGTTAGCCCTTCGTCTATCGCTCTGACGAAGGGCTAACGCTCGAAACGTCAGCTTTTTTACGTTTTCAACCCAGTTGTTAACACTAAATTACCTGCTATACTCTCCCACCGACGCAGCACCACAGTTTCTTTAGAAACTTACCCCTTTATTCGTTTATCAAACTTCTGTTCAAACATTCCCCGATTTATAATAACAACATGTTTCTTTTCTTATTTTAGTCTCCTTGTTCTTCGTGGCCGTGTCAAAACGGAGGAATCTGCATCCCGAATTACAAATACAACTCTTACCAATGTCTGTGTGAACCAGGTTTCATGGGAGAATTTTGTGAGAAAGGTAATATGCCATTATTGTTCGACCTATTCCCCATAACCTGTCGCTAAGCCTTTATGCGGGAAAAAACTCTTCTTTTTATCATCATATGGTTCTCCCATTTTTACTTGTGTACTGTGTCGAGACTGTATAAATGAATACCAGCTTTATGTAGCTATAAATATATAAGTCTTACAGTATTTTTTTGAGTTCACCAAGTGGTGAGGAATCAGCAAAAAGTAGAATAAGAAGACTTGACTGAAAAAAGTGACTCTCCGTACGAATCTTTTCTTTCTTGGTCGAGCCGCGAATGCATGTCACAATTTCATTAAGGCTTGAAAAGCTGGTACATTTCCTACACAGAAATATGAACACAAAAGATATACAAAACGCATTCAACTGCGAGGAAATTAGGCTTTAGATATCCTAAGTAGGGATAACTGTATCATAGATAAAAGAAATATTTCCTTTCTATCTCTTAGCTATTACGTCTTGCAAGGCGCTCTATGACTTCAAAAGGTAAGTTATAGGCCATACTGAAAGAATTAATGTGGCAAACACTGCGGTCAACCACTGCGCATGCACGAGAGTTTGAAAACATTACCAGGGATTTCCGAACGCGTGTCTAATGTAAAGTAAGGAAAAGAAGATTAAATTCCTCACTATTCCAATGCGTAAGACAACTGAAAAGAGGATTTAGGAGAAAGATTAAAACTAGGCTTTATTTTATTGTGAGATATCTCAACTGTTTTAACGCGGAAGCTTCATTTCGGTGATAAAGGAAAATGAGAGAACCTTTCTTCTACTGTAGCTGCACGGTCAACAATGATATGTACAAGTCTCGGCCTTAGAAACTTCGAACTTTCCTTAGAAACTGCGAAACACTACGCCTCACTTTGATCCTCCATGTTCACATTTTCAAATTATCCACCATAGTGCGCAGGTTCAATCATTTTACCGCGTTGTTTATGTAGAATGATCCGCTTAAAAACGTATTAACCATGAGAAATAAATTCATCTGCCTACTTTTGACTTATCTTTCTTGGCTGCCTCTCCTCAATTTTTCCTGGAAAGTAAGATTGGATTTATTTCTATCGATGGCATGAGGGAAGGAGTGAGACGTTATACGCCTATACAATCCAGCAAATATCTCATAGTTTAAAAAGCAGTCGTACCAATCAATTGATGATCAACAAGACAACCCATAAATAGTTAGCCTCCTCTGATTGATTTATTGGAAATAGGTCTAATGTCAGTGAACTGGTTACCCTCCGCCTGGACTCCAAACCAGTCTCCGTTCTTTGTCACATGGGAGATTTTGGATGCGGAAATGGAGGATGGACGCCGGTGATGAAGATTGACGGCATTAAGGTAAAATTAATGTCGGTTTTGCCACCAGGGAAAACCGTTTATCGACAAAAACGTGCAGCGTGATTCAGGCAATTAAGTTAAATTGGAAAATGGATTTCAATCCGACAACCGTTAAAAATTCTTTTAGCGAAACTGAATGGCCTACCGACTTTTGAACTTCTATTGTTTTAACAGAACACCTTTCATTATAACAACCCGTACTGGAGCAATAAAATTGAATACAACATTCCTGGCGGGGAGTCTGGGTTTGATTCACGGGAGACAAAGTTACCGACCTACTGGAATACAACCTTCTCCAAGATCTGTCTCGGTATGAAGATCGGACAACAGCTCAGGTTCACCGTAATTGACAGAAAGGCCGACTCTCTGTACTCACTGATCGCTGACGGTGAATACCGCGCCATCTCCCTCGGTCGAGAAACGTGGAAGAGTCTGATTGGTTCAGATGCCTCCTTACAGTTAAATTGTAACAAGGAAGGATTCAATACTGCTGATGTTAACCGTTTTAACGCTTACCATTCTGAAGCAAGAATTGGTATCATTGCTAACCAGGAGAATGACTGTAGGAGCTGTGACTCCAGGATCGGGTTCGGTACAGGGGGATATCTTGAAGACGGCGTGGTGTGTGGTAACGTGGCATATGTAAGAGGAGATAATGGAGACAGGCGCACTCCAGGCATGGGGTACATCCTGGTGCAGTAACACCGATATTCTCCATACATCTAGACACTCAGTAGAGAGAGATACTGTTAATAACGTCGTAAAAAACTTTCTTATTCTTTAAGTGTCTAAAACCTTTTCACTTTTAAATTTCCATATAAGTTCTTTATTAACAGTATGGAGAGATACTGTTAATAAAGTCGTATAGGGCTTTTTAGTCACTATTTACATTACCAACTAACGGTAACATTTAAATATATTGCAAAAGAAGTACTGTTGACAAAAACTTGCTTGGTTTTTGAAGTGTTTAAAACCATTTCACTTTTAAATTGCCATATAAGTTCTGTAAATATATTTTCGTTGACCAGTAGTAGTTGTAAAGCAACACCCGTATTTTTAGGGTATACCAGCAATATCGGAACGGTAAATTTCTTTTTGTCAGCGCTTCCAATGTCGGTCTATGGTGTTAATATTCAGTGTTTCTGTGGAATGGAATTTCCTAATTCCACCAAACTGATTAAGAGCGATCTTAAGCGAGCGTTGTTTGCTTGATTGCTTCATTTCATTTTGAAAAGAAGAGAACAGGTGACAACAGTTCCCCGACAGTCGTCGTATTTTTGCCTGGCGAGGTAAATAAAGAGTGCTTGACACTGAGAAGATTCTGGCCTAAATAAGGTATGAAGTTGTGTAGCTACTATTAACACATTGCAGGCAAAGTATCATGCGTTTTGCGGGCCTATTACTTTTTTTCTCTCCACTTAATTTAAACTCACGAAATTTAAGGCATAATTATTTCTCACACCAGGAAATAAAGGTTTCGAACGAAGATGGCGTCCATTGAGACCGTCATTTTAACAACGCCAGTTTTCAAAAGGAGAGTTCCATTTTCTGAACGTCGCTCCAGTTGGAATATTCCCTACGTACTACCTGTTGATTGCAGATTTGAATGTTTTTCACCTCCTTGTTCCACATCACCGTGTCAAAACGGAGGAACGGCATTCCAAGTAACAAATATAATTCTTACGGCTGTCTCTGTGAACAAGGTATCGTGGGAGAATATTGTGAGAAAGTTAATTCATATTTCAGCTTTGCTCTTGCTTTATTCAGTGTAAGAAGGACATTAATGGATAACTTATTTTATAAACCAATAAAATTTCCTTTTTTCTCAAAGCCTTGAAGTCGTGCAAGAAATTATAATACGTCTGCAGGTTAGTTTCTTTCCGGATTTACGCATTTACCATGAGATATGAAGTCACCCTCTCGTCCTAATTTCCTTTTGGCCGTCTGCTGGAGAAAAAGTCTAGATGCAAATTTTAAGGGAGGTATGTATAGGAGTTGAGGAAGAGAAAGCTAGCACATTAGCAACACAGAAAATATCTTTACATTAGCTTAGAATTTTACATTGGGACTGCATTGATTTATTTCATTAAAACAATGAAACAACAATACCAAGTACCTTCATTTTCGTTACCATAAATCTAACAAAATTAAATAAAACACGATGATGACAACAACAAAAAAATTAAAAATAATAAAACTTAGACGCTGCGATCCAAATCTATCTATGCGCACACAAGCCTAATTGCATTATTTTCCATCCCCATGTCACGTTTCGCCTCACAGTCGCTCAATAAGCATTTACATTGTAACCAAATGATCTTTTTACAAGGTTTTCTCTCACTTTCATCTGATAACAAATTAAAACCTCAAAATTTTTCTTTCTCAGAACGCAGTTTATGTGACCGCAAGTTTTTCTCACTGATTAAAATTACACATGTGGTAGTGAGTTTGCAAAACAAATTATTTGCCTCTTTCGTACAGTTATTCAAAGCCATGGTGAAAGACATCTTCGCAGTAATGATATTCATATATTCACAGTCGTTTTAGAAGGCATCCTTTACATTCACAACAAGCCGGTCACAACAGGTTCATCTCGATATCAAATAGCTCGACGAATGGGTGGACGCAAATGCTGTGAAAATAAGAACCGAATACTGACTCAAATCTCATATCCCTGGAAGTCTCACTGTTAACGGATGACTACCATAGTTCCTCGCGTAAATAGTCGATCATGTTCACTAATCTCTGTTTGATCTTCCTGTTATTACTCACAAACAACTGTTTTTCGGGTAAGATAACATATATCTCTAGTTGCTGTATCCACACATTAGCACGTCGAGAACGTCGAGAAGAATCCTCCATGACTACACCAGCCTCACAATCTTAATAGGTATTTCACACAATTAAATGATCTGCACGAGGTCAAACGCGTCAGTTTTAAAATTTCACATAATGTTAGTTTTCAAGAGAGAAATTATTTCCTTCATGGGACAGAGAAACCGTTTCACTTCAAATTAGCTTAACGCCGGTACAAAGATGTCAAGGTTTCGACTTATTTTGCTACGTAATGTTGGTCTTGCCCTCGAGCTAAAAAGAATCGTGTCTGTAGGAAAGTAGATTTGGTGGGAAAAAAAATTAAATATAATTAATCCCCATCGTGTGATTTCTTTAATATTTCGTAGCCAAATTTGGCAAAACAGCAAAAACGTTTAAGGTAGCTTGTTTGACACAAGGTTTAAGATTGTACCTTCTCAAGCAAATTCGTAAATAGCACTATACCTTATGAGATTTTCCATAAAGGTTCTAAGGGGAAAGAGCTGGCTTATCCATCGCTAGCGATTGTTAAGCCCTAGAGGGGAAGCTTTCAATTGCCACCTGCTATATTGCAAAAACTTGAAATGTTTTTCCCTTCCCTTCTCTTAGATACTGCCAAAAAAGGACCGGATTGGAAATGTATATTATTTTAATTTTGATGGGGTACAAGAAGCCTTACTCCGCTAAAGTGAAATCGAAAGTTATGTTGCCCTAGCGGAGTCTAAACTACGAAAAAGTAATTTTGTTGTTTTCACACCAGGGCTAAAAAGTTCAAAACAAGGATAGCTTCCCTTCGAGCACACATCTAGACAGTGCCAGTTTTTTCAAGAAGAGTTCCACTATCTGAACGTAGCTCGAATTGGAGTATTTACTTTGCACAACCTGTTTGATTGCACATTGAAATGCTTAAGAAATGCTTTGTGCCTTTCGATCAATGTGGCCGCCTCCAAAGGAGCAAATGAAAAGCTTTGGTGCGAGTTGCTATCTTCAGATAAATACAGAGACGCTGAGAGCTACAACGAAAACATGAGATCGCATCATTTGTCTATTCAGGTATAGTAGAACTCTTTCTAATGCAGTTGCATTCGACGATTTTCAAGAGATAAGCATCATTCATTACAGTGACTGTTCAAAGCATCCAACGGTCCAAGCAATCAAGGTTTGTTTACTAATTTCAGCTTCCTTGTTCTTCTTCGCCAAGCCAAAACGGAGGAACCTGCACACCGAGTTCCGAATACAATTCTTACAAATGTCGATGTGAACAAGGATTCGTGGGAGAATATTGTGAGAAAGGTAATTGTATGTCTTTCTTTCTCTCAGTAAGTATATTTAGTGTCAGCTGTGGCTAAAAATTAACTATTGCTTGTTATTGTAATTGTCTTAGTTATTATTTGGTGTACTTGCCCCCGGACCATCCATTCCGATTTTATGAGAAAGTTCCACAAGTGTCGCCACAAATTGCAACAATCAGGTTTATTAGTGAGTGCTATAGACAGCTTTTTTAATAAAAAGTGAGACAGGTGAGACTAGGTGTGACATTTTAATTACTAAAGTGTAACATGACAATCGATGAGGAAGCCAGCCACCACGTGTAAGAAGTATTTTTCAAGTGTGTAGTCTCTGTATTCAAAGGCTATACGCCAGGCCACAATCTTCTAAGCTTACTAAATTGAGAAAAAACAAAGACAGAAAGATTTAAAGCAGCTTGATTAGGAGCAATAAATAATTCTCCCTTTTTTCCTTAAGCCATACATTCGTGCAAGGATCTGCATGATTTCTACAGGTTAGTTTCTTTCCTTACATGTTTTTGTGACTTCAGCCAAAACACTATCACCAGGCAAAACATTTTATAAAACTGCTATTGTTTCTCCATAAAAATGACCTCAGAATTTCTACTAAAGCACTTCCCCCTTCCCTCCTGTGAACAAAGCTTTGTGTTAGTGATCATGACATGAAGTCTAGTAATTAACACGACACATGAAGTCACTTTCTATCCCAGGTCCCTCCGGAGGAGTTCTAGAGGAATAGACAATGCGCATGATAGGTCGGGATCCGGAGTATTGGGGCGAGAAGAAATTAAGGCTGACAATTTATCAAAACACAAAATATCTTTGCAGTAGTAACAAAACAATCCCGTTAACTCTTTTTCATACTTTGGACTACATTAACTTAATACATTGTAGCGATTAAATCATTTGATGCGTCATTGTTAATGTCAATAGGTCTGACGTCAGTCAACTGGTCACTCTTCGTTTGGACTCCAAATCAGTCTCTGTTCTCTGTCATTTGGGGAATTTTGGAAGTGGAAATGGAGAATGGACGCCAGTTATGAAGATTGACGGCGCAAAGGTGCAATTTGGTCACATTTCAGTTTCTTTTCTGCATATAATTGTTAGAGCCGATTTAAAGCACTGCCATAAATCTTACGGTGTTATAAAAGTATTTAGCTTGACGACCAAAATATTAACTTCTGACAGACCGAGCGCAAGGGCCCTACAGGGGAACATTGGCCCGAGATCGTGCAAGGTTATTTAGAAGTTTGTGATATGGCACTAGGACAAACTTTTTTTATTTTGAATCTGCCGTCTTTTGCGAACAGTGGTCCGTATGACAAACTCCCGACGAACTGATGAACCGATCAGAACGCTCTGATTTGCTACAAGATTACCTTGCCACATAAAGATAATTTATAAAGACTTCAAAAAAACTAATGTATCTATCAAAGACAAAAACGGACTAGCAGCTTCCATTTTTAGTATATTTTAATAAGTTTAAAAAAAATTACCGCAGGCTTGAAAGTTAAGACAGGCTGGTTTTAAATGGTTTTATTTATCTGTCACTTTATTTTTATTTATAATCTAGCAATACCAGCATGATGATGGTTGCGAAGATCGTATGCATAACAATAGATAGGATTATCAGAGTAATTATTAGGATACATCAGATCTGCAATCAATAACTTTCCTTTGAACAAGAAATTATGTTAATTGAGTATTTCTGATCTAAGGATTATTAGGAGAGAAATGAAGGAATGATTAATTCTTTTTAGATAACCTTTCATTATGATGCGAGTTATTGGAGTGATTATGAAGAATACAACCTTCCCGGGGGAAAGACTGGATTTGATAAACAGGAAACGAAGCTGCCCACCTACTGGAACACGTCCTTTTCCAAGATCTGTCTCGGTATGAAAATCGGACAACATATTCAGTTCATTGTCATCAACAAGCAGGCTCACTCTCTGTACTCACTCATCGCTGATGAGCATTACCGTTCCACCTCACTGGGTCGTGGCACGTGGAAGAAGCTGATTGGTTCGCAAGCCTCTTTACAGCACAACTGCAACAAGGAAGGGTTCAATGTCGTTTGTAATCAGGAGGAAAATTCTAGAGCAAGAATTGGTATCGTTAGCAACAATGAGAACGATTGTCACTCGTGTGACTCAAGGATTGGATTTGGCTCAAGAGGGAAGCACGACAACTCTAACACGTGTGGTAACGAAGCCATGTACTCCACAGATAATGGAGATAAACATATTAAAGCCATGGGATACATCTTGGTACAATGAGAAAGAAATCTTTCACATAATAACAATAATCTATTGTATCGATGAGATGACGATTTCTCGAATTGTGAGGTTGCCCTCTTGGATTTGGACTTGTGTCAGTATATAACAGTAGTTTTACCCTGGGTCAATCTTCATTGAGCAATTTCTGCCCATCTTGAGAAAATTTGAGATTCTTTTAACGCACATCTTTTATTGTCGCAGACAATTACAATTATGATGATCTGTTGTCAACCACGGGTGCGAGACCGTACATGAATTTCTAATATCATTCAAAAATATAACTTGGCGCACATGTTTCAGCCCAAAATGAGACTGGGCTGAAAAATTACCTGATAATTTTCCCAGAGGCACTAAAAAGACTTGCCGCTTGAATGCAACACTTCTCCTCAATTTAAGATCCGGTGTGTCCTTTGCTACATCTCCTGTTTCCGTTGAACTTAGCGACGAGCTTATTTGACTCACGTTATACCAACCAGATGGAGACGGGAAATCGTTTGTGCCGTTAAAATTAAAACTAACTTTCAAGAGGACCACACTACAGTCGTGCATCCATCATTTGTACTTAATCTGTACGCGAAATGATTTCAGTGCCTCTTATTTCTTGCATGTTCAGTACATGAAAGGTAATAATTCTCTTATTGCCACAACGATATTTCAAGTTTTCTATGTTTAAGTTACCGTAAATAAAGTGCGCAAAAGACCGTTACTACGGAAATTTATTCTGGCAAACAGGAGAGCTGTGATTGGGGTGAAATGATTTATATCTTTGCTGTTACAAGTAAAACCAATGTGCAAGCTAAATTATCCTGATGTGATTACGAAGAAATCTACTTATGTAATGTGCTGCAATTTCGATTTTGTTATGGTCTCATAATACAATTTAGTTACTTGATATGATAATTCCGTCAGACATAATAAACTTATCAAAAGTTTCGAGATATCAAACCAAAAACAGATAAATTGAGCTTTAAATGTTAATACCGAAAGCGGAGTGAATATTGTTGAATAATCCCCGAGATGAGGTCGGGGGGATTTTTCAACAGTATTCACTGAGCCTGAGGAAAATGATTGTGGTAATTATCAAGCATTGCGCATATTTTGTTCTAATTGCGGTGATTACTCGTGTAAAGATGTGCGAGGAATTGGTTTATTTCATTCAGTCAGCAACTGAAACTTGATATCTTTCCTTGGAAAAGTGTTCCAACAAACTCAGTAGCTGTTGCTCTTCGCAATTACGTTTTCTTCCTACGCGTTTATCACTTCCTCTGAAATATTGACAAACATGAGGCAACCAGTTTGAAATTAGCGCCCCTGCCCCTCGCGCGAGGCGATTCTTGCAAGATATGACGCAATCCTCTATCGGCTGCGCCTCGTGCAGCTCTTACGCTTCTCCGTGCTCTCCGGTTGAAAATAAAATAAATTTCTATTCTGTTAATCTCATAATGGTCACTTATTACAAAAATGTAATAAGAAAAGCTTCAAGTCAGTACTTGTTGTGAAGAATATGTATCAGTCGCATTTCCACGCACCTTCATGGAGCACCTGTTTCGAACCAAACTTTGCTTCGATAAAGTTTTGCATCGTGTGCTGAAATGTTTAATTTCATATATTCCATTTATTTTTCTTTGAAAAAACCATGCCGAATATTAGAATTCCTTGTTTATTGCTTAATACGTTGCTAAAACAGCCCTGTTGATAGAAACAAATTAGGTACTTCCTGCTAGGGAAGGGTTCCCTGTAAAAGTTCCCTCCTGAAGAGATAGGCCATGATTTCGAACTCAGTGTATACCACGGTACCTATCGGAGTAATAAATGGAGTTTCGAGTCGAGATAGCTAACATGAAATTAAGAGCGAGGGAAACTCCAGCTTTGTTGCGAGTGATTTGTTTAGCCGATCACTCTTATTTCCTTCGGCCTTAAACCGATTTCAACAAACAAATTCTACTTTCAACATGAGACATCCACTTTATGTTCGAAGAAAAGCTGCTCTTAAGCCTTGAGAGTATTTAAGTAAACGCTGGATTTTTGATGATCTTTAATATTCTATAAGAAAGCTCTGGTACCAAGCGAAACTAGTATCCAGTCTCACTGGCGTACTATTTCAATAAGAGATAGTCCTCTGTCAGCATAGGTCTAATATCCGAAAGGTAGAAAAACAGGAAACGATGAGGACGACGCCAGAAGAAGAAGTTTTAGAAACGCATTTTCTGTTTGTCTTTTAATACTTTCCTATATGTTTAAGTAAGAAAAGTTTCCAACTTGCCGAATAAAAACCCATAGGATGAGAGAGTGCCCTCCGAATCACAAGGAAAAGCTAAACATTAGCCGACGCCGGGAATCTGAGTGATGTGTTTGCTTTACTAACTCGAAGCAGAAAAAGAAAAAAGCTGGAGAGGCGAAGCAGAATTAACGGAAGAAATTGCCTCATGTTAAGAGACAAACGATTCAAATTGAAGACGTTGCGATCACTTTAAGTGAAATCACAGATCAATTCCCTGGAAAAGAAACATATATAGAAATATCCTTTAAAAGTTTGGTAGGTGGGAGAAGAAACAGCTTAATGTAAAGAAACTAAAAGCAATTCGCCATCTCCAAATTTCTCGCCCATTTTCAGCCATTTTGAACACATTATTCTATACAGAATGTTTAATGAATCAAATTATTAACGTTTTCAACCTAGAGAGGTCTAGATTCCACTCCGGTGACATAACTGGAGTTCAGACCTGAAATTAAAAGGTCAAAAGCAAATTAATAAACCAATAAAACAAAAACAAAAATACTTGTATAGCGGACGTTTAGTTGCAATACACCTGGTAAAGACAAGAGGCGTTGCATCCAGACCATATGTATGAGTTAAGTTCTACTAACGGTATCAGGGATTTGTTTGTATCGATAAGTAATGCAAACGAAAGATGAGATAATGGCTTTTAAGGCTAAAGATTAAAATTTTAGGCATTTTACGGCTAACGGTCAACTCTCTTCCTTGTGATTAAAAGAAGAACTTTTTTGTGTAACATTTTTTTATGACTAACGCCTGGTTAAAATCGGATACTTTTGAGTGATACTGT